TTTATTATTATTATTATTATTACTATTATTAATGGTTAGTGGTTATTATTATTATATTAGGTAGTATTATTATTTATGGTTAGTTAATTATATTATTATTAGAAAGTAATATTCTATTGTTAGGATATTTGTTACCATTTATAATTAGGATTCCTAGATTATTTAGTTTCCTTCTATGGTAAGGATTCTTTAGATGTCTTACCTATAAATGTATCCATTTCAATGAATTATTTATCAATGAATAAAGAAAATATTTTCTCCTAAACCTTAATCTCTCTCTTTCTCGCCTCTTTTGTTCTTGGAGCTCGAAGGTGCTCGAAATCCTTCCCTATCCCGATACGATACCGTATCAACTTCACAAAGCCAGCATGCAGCTTCGTACCCGATCCTCATGCCATCCACTTTGTTCTTGAAGTCCCATGGTCGCCTTCTGGCCAAAACCGACCATTCCCTGGTTTCTCAAAATTTTCTCCTTTTACCGCTTACAAATCCCTCCTGCCCAGCGCAACCAAGCTCTGATACCAATTGTTGGGATTTTAAGCGCGTAAGATACCGAAAAATATTGAGAACACTAGAAAAATGAGACAACAAACACAAGAAGAAAATATGAGAGAAAAAAATTAAATTTCCACTATTTCAGGACAATATACAAAAAACTCTCCCCTGTTTACAAGACTAAATTTCAGACACTTATAAACAGATCTTTCCACATCCTATGGCTGGATGTATTTTTCCGAGTAACTAAAACCAGTTACTCTCTACACTCACCCACACTCACCAAGACCCCTTGGATTTTCCCGGTGGTATTCTTGTGTAAAATTCCTCTATTTTCTCTCTACCTTGGTGTGTAAAACCCACACTCCATTCGTTGCAGGATGCTCCTATTTTATAGCCAAACACCAACATGCAATCCTAAGAGAAAGTCAACAAAAGCATGCTAGATTAAATGGTCACCAATCTAGCTAGCCAAAAGCAAGATCTTCACAATCAAAAAATATTTGATTTTCTTTCTTTTTTTTCTTTTTCTTCTTTGTCCTCTTCCTTATTTTTTTTCTTTTCTTTTGATTATTAATCAATTTCGCAACACTTTATGGACAAAATGTGAAAATTGGCAATGATTTTCTTAGGCTTTATTCTACATAGAGTATTACTTTAAACTAGTATCATACTCGT